ACCACAAAGAGTCGCTGTGACACCGCATATGAACGCGTTATTTAAAACTACATTACCCATAATGCAAAGCGAAGGGCCATTAAAAAAAATCGAGCCTGATTAAAAATGAACGTCACACCAAAGTCAAGTGATCTATTGTTATATAAAAACTGTACGATTTTGCACGTTTAAAAACTCAATATCAAAAATCAGAGCTCTATGGAGCTGAAAGCCAACTCATTTGATAAAAGGAAAACCGACATATCGGCATTCAATCAACACAGCAATTTTACAATTCAATTATTCATGTTTTTTTTAACATATACACGTAAAAAGAATAAAAAACGGAATAATACGGAAACATATTTTAACTGGGAATAGTGTTTTTCTCTTTTTAATGAAGGCAGATTATTGGGCACGGGCAGCGCGTGTCGAATCAGTCCCAGTCAGACCGACAAGAACGGGAGAGGGAGGACACGCGCACACCGGATCACCGGGACCGGACACACACATGTGACATACGGTCATATTTATCGCTCATCTGAGATACGAAAGGGGTTTTTATCATGAGCGAAATATGAGAATGAGAGACATGAGCTCGCGCGCACCGGCCTGATCGCGCGCCGGGCCGAATCAAATTCACCTCAGTGAGATTAATCAGCAGATATCATCACAATCATATTAATCATCAGTTCTCTTCTAGAGCGTAAGGTGGTAGATTGCGTTCAAGAGACTCGAGGAGGTGTGTGTTGCTGTAAACACAGCCATGGATCCGCACACAGCCGCAGACTTCACCGTGGACAACGTGGAAAAGGTAAACATACATGCTTTTAATCATTAATGTTGTATTTAGTACGTTATTTAATGTTCATTTACTCTCAGGGAAGACTTGGAAATGTTGTTGATTTGAGTTGAGAATAAGTTCATGTTATTTATGTATAGTGTATGTACATGTGGGTGATTACAGCACTTAATAAATCCTATTTTAGGACCATTATTTTATACGTATATTTGTCATTTTTAATATTTACATGACTTTTTATTGTAATTTGTAATGACACTGTATTTTTTAAACCAAGGCAGTACTGCCATGATGAAAAATTAAATAAAATATTGTTATGCTTTCCCATTATAGTAATGAGAATTAGATGTTTTAAAAGAGATTGTGGTGTTTAATGTGCTTAATTGTCACGAAAACAGTGTCCCAATGCACAAAATATTAATAGTCCTAAAAACAACAGTGTAGTTTTCCATGAGCAGCATATAATTTCCCATTCTTTTCTTTTAAAGTTGTGCTGGGATCATCTTGACAGGTTTTGTGAGACTGACCCATGTAGAGCGCTCTCAGCATCCTTACAGAATTGTGATGTTTAAGTTGTTCTCTCTTTATTAGCTCTCTATTTTGACTGCTTTTGTTGCCGAATGTCTGTCGGTTTAATGGCTCTGAGGGTAATTCTAGCTGTATGTGATTGTAATGCAGCTGATCTCTGATGATCAGGCTACAGATGTGAAACTGGTGTTCAACATTAGATTGGATTAGAGAAAAGAGAGCAGTATTGATCCGTCCGAGAGGATGAGGAGCGGAGAGAGGGTGGTGTCCCGTCCGTCTCATCTCTGCCTGGTGGAGGGTTTCTCATCTTTATCCTGGACAGCCGCTGTCAGTCCCGACGCCCGACAAATGCTCTGTTCTGCTTTTAAGCTCGTTAATAGCAAACAGGGCGTCAGTAATGTCTTTTTAAAGGTGTGCACTTGATTGCTGCTTTGTGTTTACAGTAATGCATTTACATTGTAAGTCTGTGAATAAGACATTCTGGAGGGTTTAGGCAGCACTCATATGTTAATTTTTTAGTGGAATATGTCAAGGTCCATGTCAGTTTTGTCATTTCACATTGGAATTGATAAAAGAACTAAACGCATATTTTTTATGTTTTTGAAACAAGTCTGTTTAGCATTTATTTGATCAAAAATACAGTGAAATTATGAAATATTTTTACAATTTAAAAGAACTGTTTTCTATTTGAGTACGTGTTGAGATGTAATTTATTTCTGTGAT